TAATGATGTTAGACTACAGAGACCTTCTTCATATAACCAAATGTCCAAAAATGTTCCTGGTCATTGGATTGTCGGAGGGATACTGACAATGCTTAGACCGGTACATATTGTGTCTGCTTCAAATGGAAGGATGGAAAGTCTCATCCCATTCGTGTTGTGACACTAAGACAAGTATGTAGGTGCTCATTAAGGGAATGAGTTCACTGAACACAATCGAACGAGAGTACTTGCATGGAGGTCTACTCACATGTCAAGCAAGTAACTCTAATGGTTGGAATAATGTAAGTAGTCCTTTGACTTGAGGCATCGTCGTTGTCTTGTGGTTAAGTACTTAATCTTTGATTATGTCAAAGTCTCCCCATTCACGGGTGTCCACGGCATAATTGGGGTTAAGCCACTTAGTCATGAAGGCAAGTGTATGCGCAACAAGGAATCTCTAATCCTCGATAAGAGAGGAAGAATACTCTAAGATATGATTCGGGAATCTTTGGCCGAAGTATCGAGCGTAATAAAGGAAAGCGTTCCTATACGACTCAAAAGAATCATATAAGAAGGAATAATCACATTAGGGGTTTGACATAATATTTCCATACCCAAGTAATGTGATTGAGAGTATTGTTTTAGAGAAGGATCGAATTACATTGTAATTCCAACTGAATAGGTTCTCCGAACAAACTTCTACATTAGCTTGGGTAGCCATGATATATGGTTAGATGTCACTCATGGCTTGTGAGTTCTTCTAAATGATTAAATGTAGTCGTCAAAGAAGAAGGTGAATTAAAAGTATGTTTTAATTCACTAAGTGATTGGATTAAATATAATCAATTGGATTGGTGCCAATCACCTCACTGCCTTGCTAATTAGAACCTACAAGATTGTTCACCAATACACTATTGTAGTGAGTAACTAATGGATGATGGAAATAATTAATTGGATTAATTAAGTGTTGTGATTAATTTAGAAAGTCTAAAGAAATCATAAAAGCGATAAAGATCGTTTTGGGCTTAAAGAAACGTTCGGGTTTAATTGGGCCCATTGGACTTTTATTCAAGCATTGGATGACTTGAAATATATAAAAGCCCAAAAGCCCAAATCCAACACAAGAGGCCGGCCACTTTAAGTGGAAATGGAGAGATATTTAGTCAAGTGGTTGACTAGGTTTCCTTTTGTCTATATAAGGAACTTTATAGAGATATTGTTCATTAGGGTTTTTGAAGTGTTAAAACAACAAAGAGGCAAAAGAAAAATAGCTCTCTAACACTACAAAGGGCGGCCACCTTAGGGGTGTTTTTACTAACACATCTTTCACCCTTTTGGTTATTCCTTCATCCTTCTCACTACACTAGTGGGTGAGGATCTTTAGAGGTTTCCTACTTTGGAAACTTGAAGAGAACCTAGGAGCACTCATTCTAACAAAGTGGAGGAGGCAAGGAGGAAAGCTAGGCTCAAGGAGTTCAAGGAACAAAGGGCTTGGAGGTGGTCCATCCATGGTCTCAAGTCTAGATCAAGAGGTATTAGACTAAACCTTCACTTTGTTCTTCTCTAAAATTGCTCTGATGCATTATATATAAACCTATGAACATTGAAGGGGATTTGCATGACTATAGCTTTGATAATTTGTTATAAATGCTTCCGCTGCTTTCGTATATTAAATTTGATTTGTATATGCATGATAGTCTTTTTGAAATCCCTATATGTGAAAACTCATAATTTTCCCTTCACAAAATTAAAAAAAAAATGACAATCATCATGGACTACAACCAAGACCCATTCTTTCAACATGATCATTAAATGCCTTCGGCCCCAGTCTCTTTGTCAAGGGATCTGCGATCATAAGCATTGTGCTTATGTGCTCAATAGACACTATTTGTTTCTGAACCTCCTCCTTAAGAGTCAAGTATTTTATATCCATGTGTTTAGCACCATTAGAATACTTGTCATTCTTGGAGAAGAAGACAGCGGCAGCATTGTCACAGAAAATTCTCAACGGCTTAGCAATGAAATCAATAACGCCAAGCCTTGAGATAAAATTCTGTAACCATAATCCATGATTTGTAGCCTCAAAGCATGCTATAAATTCAGCTTCCATGGTGGATATAGCAATAGCATCTTGCTTTGTACTCTTCCAGGAAATTGCTCCTCCAGCTAAGAGAAACAAGTAACCAAGAGTTGATCTTCTGCTATCAATGCATCTAGCAAAATCTGAATCTGAATAACCAATAACTTCTAGGTTATTAGATTTTCTATACGTGAGCATATAGTCTTTCGTTCCTTGCAAATACCGCATCACTTTCTTTGCAGCTTTCCAGTGATCCATTCCTGGGTTACTTTGGTATCTGCCTAACATCCCAACTGCAAAACTGATGTCTGGTCTGGTACAAGTTTGTGCATACATCAGACTTCCTACAATAGATGCATAAGGAATACTTTCCATTTGTGCACGCTCCAATTCATTTTGTGGGCATTACATAAGGCTAAACTTATCCCCTTTCTGAATTGAAGCAACACTGGATGAACATTTTTCCATACCGAATCTCTCTAGAACTCTCTCAATATATGCTTTTTAAGACAAGCCTAACACTCCATGTGATCTATCTCGGAATATTTCAATTCCTATCACATAGGCCACCTCACCCATATCTTTCATTTAAAATTCTCCGAGAGAAACTGTTTGGTCTCATGTAATAGACCAAGATCACTACTAGCAAGCAAAATGTCATCAACATACATAATTAGAAAGATAAACTTGCTCCCACTGACCTTCAGATATGTACATCGATCAGCGATGTTTGCTTTAAAACCGAAGGATACAATGATATTATCAAACTTAAGATACCATTGTCGTGAAGCTTGTTTAAGTTCGTATATTGACTTCTTTAGTTTACAGACCATGTGTTCCTTTCCCTTTAATGCGAAGCCTTCAGGTTGATCCATGTAGACTTCTTCTTCCAAACTCCCATTCAAGAATGCCGTTTTCACATCCATTTGATGTAACTCTAAATCATAATGAGCTACTAATGCCATAATGATTCTAAAAGAGTCTTTCTTTGAAACTGGTGAGAAAGTCTCTTTGTAATCAACGCCTTCTTTCTAAGTAAAACCTTTGGCCACCAATCTGGCTTTATATCATTCTATATTGCCATTAGAGTCGCGTTTGGTCTTAAAACCCCACTTACACCCAACTCTCTTACAACCTTTAGGCAATTCAACGAGATCCCAGACTTCATTTTTGTCCATTGATTTTAACTCATCATTCATGGCATCAATCCATTTACTAGAATCAATACAGTTAACGACTGTGAAAACGAAACCGGATCTTTATTTATTCCTATATCAACATCAGACTCTTGTAAATATACCACATAACCATCTGAAATAGCACTTTTCCGTTCTCTTTAAGATCTCCTTAATGTTATTTCTTGTGGTTCTTCCACTACATTTTCATTTGTGATAATCTCATTCTGGAGCGGATGGTCATTAATTTGTTGTTCAACATTGTCTAACGGTTCAACATGTATAGGAACAACAACTTGCTTAGAAATTATAGGTGTAGGAATCTGCACCCTAACTTCATTAATGACCAATTCTTTAGGTTTTTCGCTCCCACTAATTTCACCACTTTCAATGAATCTGGCATTGCCAGTTTCAACAATTCTCGTACTATGATTAGGACAGTAAAACCTATATCCTTTGGATTTTTCTGGGTAACCAATAAAGTTACCACTAATCGTTCTAAAATCCAACTTATTTTCATGCGGATTATAAATTCTTATTTCTGCTGGGCATCCCCAAACATGCAAGTGCCTTAAACTAGGTTTCCTTCCTGTCCACAATTCAAATGGTGTTTTCGGAACTGCCTTACTAGGAACCCGGTTTAATAAGTATACAGCAGTCCTAAGAGCATACATCCATAATGATATAGGCAAATATGCATTACTTAACATACTCCTAACCATGTCCATAAGAGTACGATTACGCATTTCAGCAACACCATTCTGCTGTGGCGTACCTGGCATAGTGTATTAGGCACATATGCCATGCTTTTCAAGGAGTTTTGCAAAAGGACCAGGACATTGTCCTGATTCATCATATTTTCCATAAAATTCACCACCTCTATCCGACCTGACAATCTTAACCTTTTTATCTAATTGTCTTTCAACTTCAATAATGAACACCTGAAAGGAATTCACTGATTCAGACTTTTCTTTCAACAGATAAATATAGCCGTAACGTGAAAAATTGTCTATAAAGGTGATAAAATATTTTTCTCCGCTAAAAGATGGAGCATCAAAAGGTCCACATATGTCTGTATGAATTATTTCAAGAAGCTCTGAACTTCTTGTAGCTCCTTTCTTGGTGTGTTTGGTTTGTTTGCCCTTAATACAATCCACGCACACACCGAGATCAGTAAAATCTAGGTTTGGAAGAATCTCATTCTTTACTAATCTTTCTAACCTTTCTCTGGATATATGACCCAGTCGTTTATGCCACAAGAATGAAGAATTTTCATTGTTTAGGCTACGCTTAGTTCCAACATTATGATGCAAGGTCAAAAGTGTTTCAGCAAAACGATTATTGAGTTTTAAATTATGCAGCTCACCTATTAGAATACCAGAACCAACAAAAGAGGTATTCTTATATAAACTGAAACATTCATTACCAAACTTTATAAAAAATCCATTACGGTCAAGCTTCGAGACTGAAACCAAATTTCTGGAACAACTAGGAACATAAAGTGTCTGAAATAAATCCAAACAATATCCAGTATCCAAAATTAAACGAAAAGTTCCAACAGCTTCAACTGGAGCTTTGACTCGATTCCCCATGAAAATGAAATTTTCATTTGGATTTAAAGTGTGGGTCGTAAGGAATCCCTGCATCGAATTAGAAATATGAGCTGTAGCACCAGAGTCAACCCACCAAGTATTATAAGGAACTTCAGTTAAATATGATTCGAAACTTACATAAGCCAAAGGCTCACCTTTCTTTTCGAACCATTCCTTGAATTTCTGGCAATTCTTTTGATAATTCCCAGGCTTCCTACAGAAGCGACATAAAATCACTTTTATGTTCCTTATCATGAGCCTGAGTAGCATTAGCAGGTCCATTCACCTTGGGTGATCCTCTTTTCTTGCCCTTTCCAGGCTTTCTTCCAAATTTTCTTTCAGCTCCTTGACTTACTAAATGAACGGAATGTTCTCCTTGCTGCTTAAGCCTTCCCTCCTCTTGAACGAGTTTTGTGGCCAATTCATCAACATTCCATTTGTCCTTAATAGCATTATAGTTGATTTGAAATGGCCCATACTGAGGAGGCAAGGAGTTCAAAATAAATTGAACAAGAAATGAGTCATCCACATTCATTCCAAGAGTCTTTAGCTTTGCTGCTATATTAGTCATTTCAAGGACATGCTCATGCATGCTTCGCATACTATCAAATTTCTTGGTGGTAAGCTCAGCCATTAATGTCCCAGCAAGAGACTTGTCAGCAGTCTTGAAACGAGTCTCAATATTTTTCAAGTATTCCTTAGCAGTTTCAGCTTGAGGAAGGCCAGTCTTTATGTTGCTCATTATAGTCATTCGCATAAACATCATGCTCAATCTATTCGATCTCTCCCAGGCATTATAGAGAGATTTTTCCTCAGTGCTGCTTGTATTCGTAAGAGCAGCAGGTTTGTCAGTTCGGAGTGCTAAATCAAGATCCAGGACACCAAGGTGAAACTGAACTTGCTCACTCCAATCTGAGAAATTTGTTCCATTAAGTGAGGGAATAGATGGAGCAAGTGAATGAAGAGAAACAGGCACCGACACTGCAATTCAAAAGTGCTCACAACATTACTGCTTTGAGTAATAAAAAAAAACACGTGTAATAACAATAAGTGTATTATCATATTCTCCTTTGGGTAGATACTACAACAATACAAACAATAATCGATGCATAATACCTTATTGATAATTGTACATCTCTAATAAGACAGGTTTCATTATCTTTGGATATCCGAACAAATAAAAATGAAATATACAATTCTCAACACATTCATATCATCAATCATATGAGCAATTAGTCTACCTTTGGGTGACCCTTAAGAACTTATGACAAATGAAAAACATATTACTCATGTACAAACCTTTAAAACATAATAAGGTTTTGTTCGTTCATATGCATCATCCTACCATGAGTAATTGATTAATCATCATTTAATTTGAATCCATGTAATCTTTCTAGTTTGGCCACTTTGGTGACTTGCAAATAATTTCGTAAGACGAATTACAAATTAAATGAATGACGTTTATAATCGTAATGATCAGTCATAGGTATTCAAATTACTTTAACTAATTCCAACTAAAAGAATCGCCCAAATTGCATCATAATTTCCATACCCAAATATGCAATTCGGCAAAAATTGTAATAAAACTAAGATTACAATTTCTTAATCCCAACATGCATAATCAATACATGCAAATAAAATACAATCATGTCTGTCTCAAAACAGCAGACATTGCACCCTAATTAACCACCGATTCCGTTCTTGCAGATTTAAAAAATTATGCTGACAGTAAGCAGCAACATCATAATTAAAAATATTCTTGCCGAGTGCAATTTACAATATATAAAGAACATTCACAATTCAAAACAGCGATTAGGTTATTTCAAAATAGCACAGCGGATCATAATTTATTTCGAAACAAAACCCTAATCAAGTCGATTCAGTTAAAGTTCATAATCGTAATTGGAAAATCATGAGAGCTCTCAACCAGGCTCTGATACCACATGTAAATCTTAAAACAATTAAGCCAAGATCATCGAACTTCATGATTTTCACATACAAATAATTTCCGGAAATACATTAAACAACCAAGCGTACCTTGATCCATGACAACGAACGCTATGAGATCCCAAACGGATTCTGTCAACGGCGGAGGAAATAGGTGTTCTCTCTCTTGCCTCTATTTGCACGTGAAAACCCTAATCGTGTTTTTCTATCAAGTGCATATTAGATGGGTATATGCAATATATATATATATATATATATATATATATATATAAGTGAGGCAGAGAGAGGACTCGTTTCCATTTAAAGTCCATAATCAATTACCACCCATCACAGTAATTTGATAGGAAACATTTCTCATAATTTGACCAATAGGATTATTTACAAATGATAATCTCCGTTAAACCCTACATATCATATGGACCGTGTCATATGGACCACTTTAGAATATTAAAATATTCTTACAATCTGGGGCTAAAATTTTAGGTCAGAAAGATTGAGGCAGAAAAACTGTTTATGGGCTAAAACCTAAATTTTCTGGGTTAAAAATGTTAGGTTTTAGCCCAATGGTTAGAAATGGTCTCATAAGTGTTTACAACCTAAACAAAAGCAGATACTATACCGAAACTAATTAATTTTGTTGATTGGGCTTGATGGCATTCCTCACAACCAAAAATATAAAAAAGGTGTGAACAATTTGGATTTTTTTTTTTAGTGTATCCCTCCAATTGTATAAAAAAATGTTGTGTTTGCCCCATATTTCAAGCATATAAAAAAAGGAAAATTAATAAAAAAACTTGAAAACTTTGAGTTTTAACGATAAGTACAAAATAAAGGGTAAAGTTAATGGTATCAGGATTGACTTTTTAGTGTAAAAATGTAATTTTTCGTTAAAATAAACAATACTAAGAGTTTTTCGTTAAAATTCCCTATAAAAAAATCTCTCACTTATTAGGACCCGAGATATCATGCTGTTGTAAGATTTGTTGGACCCGTCATACAGTTAGCCCTCCGTGTACGTAACGTAACACACACACCTCGAGTTCGCAAATGCATCGCATTGTAAGATTTGTTGGACCCGTCATACAGTTAGCCCTCCGTGTACGTAACGTAACACACACACCTCGAGTTCCCAAATGCATCGCATCGTTGTTTATTGGTCCCTGGTAAATTGCTTCGCTGACATTTTCCAGATTTGGTCGCATATGTACAAAATAGCACATGCGAGGTGTACTGCATTCCTAATAGTGACCCGACATTGTCATGTGATACATGCTATTCACAAGTATCCCCAACTTGAGAGAGATTTTTGTGTATACGGAATATAAATATATACATCATATGTCATAATACAAGTAACTTTATTATAAATACTACGACAATCTTTACCAAGGGACACTAAAAAATATATGTCCTCTTTGTAGAATTATCAGATAAACGGGCCAAATACCCACTTTCAACAACACTGATACTATCCCCAACTTGGTAATTACCACCTACACAATCCGTCAGGTGTGGGTTTTATCACAAAAAACCTCGGTATTAGTTGGAGTGGGGTTATGATATTTAAACTCTTCTTTCTTTAGTTCTCTAGCCGATATGGGATTTCAACATGCCCTATTGTGGGACCCAATTAGTGGGTCACACGCAGTGAAGAAAATATCGATAATATCAGCGATATTTCGCCGATATTATCGTTTTTTTGGGGGTCCGATATTTTTTTAACTATCCAAATTGTTTTCGTCAAAATATCGCGATATTATCGATAATATCGATAATATCGCAATATTTTTTAAACTATCGCGATATTTTGGTACTGTTCAAATCGGAGAAGAACGCCGGAGCAAATTAACCGAATCCCTAAATCCCCAAATTCGATTTCAAAGCAAATGAACTGAATCCCTAAATCCCCAAATTCAAATTCAAAGCAAATGAACTGAATCCCTAATTCCTAAATCCCTAAAATCGAATTCAGTACAAAAATGGTGCAACATGCAGAAAATTCGAAATCTGTACAAAAATTAAATTACAAGCCGAGAAGAATATGGTAGTAGGAGCCTGGGAACGTCGTTTTCCTCACGAATCCAAGACGGCTGGGACAACGTCGTGCTCCTCACCGACGACTACGATGAATTCCGGTCCATCGTCCGGTGTCCGCTGCCTCCACTCAGTTTCTCCACAACCGTTGATTTGCGATGACGCGACAGTTACGACTCGACGATTGGGACTAACGACACGGCTTCTCCATGGAACAAGGTGGTTTAGAAGGCGGTTATGGAGTGGTGTCGACGGCTGGGTTTAGGGCGGGTGAGATGGGAGGAGCAGAGGGAGACGCGGACGAGGAGGATCGAGAGATGGATCGAGATTCGAGAGATGATGTCTGTGTGTGTGTGGAAGAACTGGAGAAGGGGGAAGGGAGAAGACTGAGAACAATTACAGGAATGGAGAAGACTCAGAGAGAGAAGAGAGAGAAGGAAGGATCGAGACGATTCGAGAGAGAAGGAAGGATTGAGGGTGTGTGTGTGTGTGTGTGTGGCACACGGTTTTGTATAAAACCATGGTTTTTTGTGTGTGTGTGTGTGTGTGTGTGTGTGTGTGTGTGTATGGTTATGTGTGTGTGTGTGTGTGTGTATGGTTATGTGTGTGTATGGTTATGTGTGTGTGTGTGTGTGTGTGTATGGTTATGTGTGTGTGTGTGTTATCCGAGAGAAAAAGAAAAAAACTTTGAGGGTGTGTGTGTGTGGCACACGGTTTTGTATGAAAGAATTGGAAGTGACTTTGCACAGAAGAACCAAATATTCTGTCAGAGAAGAACCAAAAAATCTGCTTACTTTATCTTCTTTTCCACGTGAAGACCAAATTCTGTCGGAGAAGAACCAAAAATGCAATGTATAAAGTGTAAAATATTGTACTAATTCATTATATATAAATGATTATGGTGTGTTTAGACCTCTTTCATTAATTACTACATATTTTCTACACTCACAATGTTTGTCAGCTCGCTATATAATCAACTTGATAATGTTAAATCCATCATGCAATGCATTTCCTTCCAATTTTTTGTGATAAACTAATAGATAATTGACTAAATAAACATCCTGCAAAGTTTCAATAAAAATTTCCAAGTTTTTCTTACAATTTCCGTGATTTCCATGTAATTTTTATCGATATCGATATTATCCCGATATTTCCATCGATATTTCCGTGTTTTCGGACTACCGATATTTCCGATATTACTGATATTTTCTTCCTTGGTCACACGTGAGAGATCCACACATCGGCAACTATGTGGAGCTAAATGGACTCACCCTACACGCGGGGCCAAGGGACCCACCATTATCCATGGGGCCAAAGGGACCCACCCATCACGTGGTAGTACGTACAGACCCGCTCCCTAACTTTGATACCATGTATAATTATCAAAAAGATTGCCCGAATGTCTACTTCCAATAACACTAATTGTCCCCAACTTGGTAATTACTACCTGCCAAAACCGTCAGGTGTGAGATTTTATCATAAAAGGCATTGGTATTAATTGGAGTATGGTTAGGATATTTAAACTATAATTTCTCTTTTTGTATAGCTGATGTGGGACTTAACATGCCCCCTCACGTGGGACTCAATTAGTGGGTCGCACGTGAGAGGTCTACACATTGGCAACCACGTGCAGCCAAGGGGACTCACCCTACACGCGGGGCCAAGTGACCCACCCTTAGCACGCGGGGCCAAGGGGACCCACTCATCATGGGCAATACGGGGCCCGATTCCTAGCTTTGATATCATTTAGAATTATCAGAGAGACGAGCTCAGAGTCCACTTTCAACAATACCGATATTGTTCCCAACTTGGCAATTACCACATGCACAATCCGTCAGATATGAGGTTTTATCACAAAAGGCCTCGGTGTTAGTTAAAGTGAGGTTAGGATGTTTAAACTATTTACTTTTCTTTTACTTGGTCGATATGGGATTCAACATGTCCCTTCACGTGGGACCTAATTAGTGGGTCACACGTGGGAGATCCACACATCAACAACCACGTGAAGCTAAGGGGACTCACCTTACACGCGGGGACAATGGGACCCATCCATCATCGCGTGGGGCCAATGAGACCCATCCATCATGTGGCAGTATAGTACGGGTCCGCTCTCTGACTCTGATACCATGTAGAATTATTAGAAAGACGAGACAGGCCAAAGACCCACTTACAACAACACTGATACTGTCCCCAACTTGGTAATTACTACTTGCACAATCCGTCAGGTGTGGGGTTTTATCACAAAATACCTCAATGCCCAACTTGGTAATTACCACCTGCCTAATTCGTCAGGTATGAGGTTTTATCACAAATGGCATCGGTGTTAGTTAGGGTGTGGTTAAGATATTTAAACTATTTACTTTTCTTTTACTTGGTCGATGTGGGATTCAACACTCTTATGACACGTAATGTACAAGCTCGTGTTCCGGGTACATGAAAAAAGATCTACTGCAATGGAGAGGACTAGGTACATAGTATTATTTGTTTCACTGTCGTGTGTATAACTTAGCTCTCGGCCATAATACATGCATTTCTTTTTTCTTTTTTTGTCAATATATGGTAGAGAAATTTCATTAAACGAAGTCCAATCAGACGAATTACAACTTCAGTGGTTTGAATAATGTGACTACGAAAATATATCTTAATGCATATATACTAACTAAACAATTTAGAGCTCACAAAGAGCATGAAGTCAGCAGATGTGTTCGATAATGGATTCCCTATATACATGCTTAAACACTGACTAATTAACGGTTTGGTTCGATTTGCTTCACCCTAAAAAATGGAAGATAAAATTTAAATGGTATAACTAGTTCGGTTCAGATTCAGCTTAGTTTGACCAATTTTGTTTGATTTGAGAAAGAGAAGAAAATGGAACAGATAAAACATATGAAGAAAATACAAGGGGAAGAGAAGAGCAAGGGAAAAGAGACAAGATGCAAATGAGAAGAGGGAAAGAAGGAAAGAGGGGAAGATGAGAGCGGGGCTCATAATCTCTACTTGCCAAGTCTCAGCTTTGGTGAAATGGATTTATGTGTACACAATTGTCATCGTCATCATTCACAGAATTTTATTGAACAAACAGAGAGTGTATTGTATTTTATCAATAGTGAATTCTTACATTGTCATTGTGATCCATTCACAAATTTTATTCAAAAAACATTACTAGAAAACAGGCCATACATAGGACACTG